GGTGCTGCGCCCGGGTTTGCAGGAGGACGGGGTGCACGGTGGGGCCCAGGCCCCCCTGCCGGCAGCACGGGCTGGCCGTGCGTGGGGACGGGCAGGACCCGTGTGCCCTGCTGGAGCTCCTGTTCGCTCACCGGGCCCCGAGGTTCCAAGGACACGTGTATGTGTGTGTGTGTGTGTGTGTGTGAAGGTTCTCCACACGGCGCCTGGCGCCTCCAGGGGCCTAGGAAGCGCTGAGACTCACCCTGTCTCTGGAGGTGCTGGGACCCAAGGTGCCTCCCAGGGCGAGGTCCCCGGCTCCCCAAGTGTCTGGAAGTGGGGACGGTGTGGCAGGGGTGGTGGCAGTGACGTGATTACAGGGGTTCCAGACGGAGCCAAACTCCCCCTCCGCCTCACAGAGCTTTCTGCTCTTGTTAAAGAATAGTATGTCTTTATTGACTGACTTTTAGCAAGAGGGAGAGAGAGAGAGAGAGAGAGAGAGAGAGAGAGAGAGAAGCATCTACTTGTTCCATCCGTGCATTCCTTGGTTGATTCTTCTACGCGCCCTGAGGATCGCACCCGCCACCGTGCCGTCTCAGGACGAGGCTCTAACCAGCCGCGCTGCCCGCCCAGGGCGGACACAGAGCTTCCTGTACCGGTTTCCCACGGCTGTGTCCTGTCCGCTCACGGTCCAGGGGGCCAGGAGCCCAGATTCAGGGCGTGGGCCGGGTGGGCTCCTCCCAAGGGCTCTGAGGGGGACGGTTCTCTCCCAGCCTCCGGTGGTGGCCGGCCGCCCTGGTCACTGCACACACAACCCCGCCATCCCTGCCTGTCTCTCTGTGGCGGCGGCCGGCCGAACGCAGGTGCAGCTTGCTCTGCGTTCCCTCCCCCCTTCCCCCTCCCTCCCTCCCCCTCCCCGTCCGGGCAGAAGCTCTTTGGTTGGGTGTCTCTCTCTCTGTGCTTCCCCGCCACGGGGCTCAGGACTGGGTGTGGACGAGCCTTGAAAACATAAGCAGGGGATTAAGTACTCAGAGATCCACCACCGAGGAAGAGGCTTGGCCGCTTTCACCAGATGCCAGGAAAGCATCTGGTGGAGTCCAACCCCCACTGCTCTCGGAAGCAGGGAGAGACGGAGGGGCCGGCTCGGACTTCCCCGCGATAAGGCCCATCTCCGCCCAGCGGCGGCCGAACCCGGTTTTCCCGGCGACACAGTCCAGCCGGGTGTTGGGGGCCCGGGGGGCCGCGGGGATGGCTCGTGCTGGGGTCCCGGGGCCACCAGCACCCGGGAGACACGGCTGGAGGGGCCGCTCCCTCCAATGCCAGCGGCACGGCGGTCCCACCCCCGCTCACCACACGCGGCTGCAGCCGGGAGCTGGGCCGGGAGGACGCGGGCCGAGCTCGTGGGAAGGAGGGTGGGGGGGGGGCTGCCTGGACGGGGGTCAGCATCTGTGCTGGGCTCCCCAGGCCCCCACGCTGGCCAGGAACGAGCAGTAACATGGCAGACAGCGCGGCGGCCACGTCACAAAACAAACACGCGACGGCCAAGCTCTCCTCTGTGTCCGGGTGACCGGCTGGCCCCTGGGGCGGGAGGGGACCCTTCTCGCACCCGTCTGCCCGCGGGTCCACACACCCTCGGGTCCACACACCCGCGGCCTTGCTTTCTGGCCGGAAAGAAGGGGAGCACCCAGCGGGCTCAGGCCGCGCCGCGTCCCAGGGGGAGTGGGGGCTGCGGTATAGTGTCTGCGCGTCACCCCAGACGCCCCCGGGGTCGGGCCGGCTGTGCCTCGGGGCCCGGCCTCTGGTTAGTGCCTGGTGTGCGGTGGTGCGACCCGGGGTCAGGAGACCTGGGTGCCGCGTTGTCAGGTGGCGCCCTGCCGGCTGTGGGGTGCCGCGCCCGTCCCCGTCCTCTCCCTCGGCCAGAATTTCCTCCCCTGGAGCCGATGACACCGCCCGCCTCGCAGGCCCATCTGAGCAGCCCTTCCCCCCCCAGAGAGGGCTTCAGCCACATCCCCCCTGCCCCCGGCAGCGGCCGTTATCACGAAGGCCGGGAGGCCGCCACTGAAAACCCAGTGCTGGTCCGGTCCAGGCGACACACGCGTGGGACCTGCAGGAGCGGCCTCGCGTGTTCTCCGAGACGGCCCCGCTCCTCGGGTCCGTCCCAGGTCCCCACTCTGGCCACCGAGGCCGCCGTGGTGCGGGGTGGGGGGGGGGCAGGGTGCCGGTGAGAAGAATCTGGTGGTTGGGAGTGAACCGGGAACTCCCGCTGGAAACCAGAGCCCGGCCACCTCCCCACCCTCGTCCGGGGACGCCTCTCAGCCGGCTGCGTCCGGGGTCGGGGGGTCCCTCACCGTCTCCCCCAAAGTATCCCCGTCTTTCCCGAGGCTCTTCTCGCCTCTCTGTCGGCAGGCGGCAAGCGCCGGAAAGCGTTCGGCCCCTCAGGGGTCACGGGGTCGTTCCCGCGCGGCTGGCCCTCCAGGTGCCGGCGAGGTCCCCGTGTCACCTGTCGCCGGGCTGTCCTCGGAGGCTGGGGCAGGTCTCTCAGATGTCCCCAAGGCCACAGTCTCCCCGGGATTCCCTTTTCAGTGTCCTGTCCTCTTCATTTCTTTCCCTGTTGTCTCCTTGGTGTGGCTTGGCTACTGTGATTATTATTGTTATTTTTGCCTTATTTTAACCGCAGTCGTCGGTGCGATCGCCCAAGGCGGCTCGTATACTTTTCCGAGGACTGACCTCCTTGGGCTTGTGGCGGTTGCCCTCCTGGCCGCCCCCCAACCTCCCCGCCACTGAGTGGTCCAGGCTGCTGCCGCCAGCCCACCTACTGGGTCTGGGGGTCCTCGGGGCGAGACCCCGGGGCCAGCCGGCTGCAGTTCCCGCGCCGGGCGCACACCGGTCCCTGGAGAGCGCTGGAGAATTGCAACAACTCCTGAGACAGTGGTGGGTTGGTTTTTTTTTTTTTTTGTCTTTCTGATTCTTTGGGAATACATAGTTAGTCTGCAGAATTAAAAGGTAGACTGTCCTGTGGATCTTAGAAAAAATACATTTGAGCATTGCCTGGACCACCTAGTATTTTCTTTGCCTTCTGCTGTTTCACAACAAACGTTACACGCTGGCTTTTTAGAAACCAAACGTCGTTATTAGAATTTAAATTTTAAGAACTCCTGTTCGATTAAACGGGTGCCCCAGCCGGACCACCCCGTCCACGGCGAGCACCGCCCTCGAATAGCGTTGAACGTGCTTCCCCCCGCATCTCCACAGTCAGCCGGGTCCCGCCTCCCCCCCCCCCGCCCCCGGTGCCTCGGTCCCCTCGACTTCGGAGAACACGGATTCTTCCTCCGTGAACGCTGGTCTTCCCTGCCCGTTCGCCCGAACCCCTCCCCCACCCATCCTTTCATCCATCTAAGAGAAAATCACACAGCACCCCAAAAGTCGCAGGGGGTACCACCCGGGGGACATCGGCAAGGCTGTAAAGATCAGTTAGATCCTTTCCTTGCCTGTGGAGCTCAGGGCTGCAGACGGCCACAGAGGAACAACGCAGATAGTGGCTGACACGTCGTGGCACCCCGTGGCAGGGGGCCGGGCAGGGGAACAGAGCCCCTTTTGCACCCTCCCCTGCAGCCTCCTCCCCGCATCCGCAGTGGCTAGTTTCTGTGTGGGCGTATTTTTTTTTTTCAGAGATTCTCGGCATATATGAATATGTTTTACTTAAGAAAAAAAAAAAACAAACCCTGATAGTAGCTGCCTACCTCGTGCACCTGCTTTTTGGACTCAGCGGTCCCTAAGTCCTGGAGGTGAGCCTCCGTCAGCCCCCTGAGATCGCCCGGGTCCCTTTGATGACGGTGGCCCTGGCCTGGGGCTGCCACAGGCCCTGGCATGTTATTAAACCGGCTCCCTCTGCACGGCGCTTTGGATTTTAATAGCAGAACATTGGACGCAGACAGCGCCGTGGAGAACATCGTGACACGCAGGCGTCCATGCAAATATGCACTTGTACCTGCGGGATGATTTCCAGAGGGAGAGTGGGGAGGTCAAGGGTGTTCTTTGATTTCAACAGCTGTTGCTAAATTGCTCTCCATGAAGGCAGGGCCGATTTACACTCCCACTGACGGCAGGAGTGAGAGGCGGTGGTTTTTAACCTCAAAACCCCAGGCAAGGAAGAGCTTTTAAGTCAAATGAAAACCAGGAGACAGCCGTGTGTGAGCTCTTTCCGCCGCAGAGGGCACCTCCAGCAGGGTTCCCGGCACCGCTGGGTAAGAATGGTGCGGGGGTGGGGGCGGCCGGACTCCGGGGGGCGGGCCGTGGCCTGGAAGGTTCCTTCCTGGTGGGGGGGGTAGGGTGTGGGGGGCTGCCTTGCCCGCCTCGGCCGGCTCGTCCATCCCCAAGGACCCGAGAAGCTCCACCGGCTTTAAGATTACCCCAGAACTTGTAAACTTGCAGAAACAATTTTGTCAAGGAAGGACATTCTTCTTTTTTTTCCTAAGATTTTATTTATTTATTTTTAGGGAGGGAAGGGAGGGAGATAGAGATAGAGAGAGAGAGAGAGAAACATCAATGTGCGGTTGCTGGGGGCCGTGGCCTGCAACCCAGGCATGTGCCCTGACTGGGAATCGAACCTGCGACACTGTGGTTCGCAGCCCGAGCTCAATCCACTGAGCTACGCCAGCCAGAGGACATTATTCTTAAGGAGTTGTCCCTCACAGATGTTCCCCAAGGGGGTGGAGGGACGGACGAGGAGTGAGGGCCTCACGGACGGGTTTCCACCTGGGAAGGCGGGAGGAGTCCTGCAGGCGGCGGGCGGCGATGGGTGCGCCTCGGGCCGCGGACCTGCGCGCGTACACGCGGTCGAGACGGGCGACCACCGTTCTGCGTATTTCCTTACACACACACACACACACACACACACACACACGGAAAGGCTGCGGCTCACAAGCAAAGGGACGCAAGGAAGCAAGAAAGGTCCAAGAATGAAAATGGAGCTAGCGAGGCGTTTTGCACAGCTCGCCCCCTAACTGTGTGTGCTTCTCGCTCACCTTGTTCCTTGCAGGGCCTGGGGCGGTGGCTGGCGCTGAGCTGCACCCTGGGTGTGGGAGACGCCGAGGGCCAGTGAGAGCCGTCCCGAGGAGGAGCCCGGGCTGGGCCTGCTGGGTGGGGGAGGGTGGGGGGGACTGCTGGCCCAGAACAGGATCCTGGATCTGTGCCCGGAGGCCTGGGGCCAACCCACGCCCCAGCCGCGGGGACGCGCCCTGGCCGGCTCTCGCCTGTGTGTGGACAGGAGAATCCCGCCCTGGCTGCCTGCTGGCTGTTTTCTGAGCCTGGCCTGCGTGAACTGAGCCGTGACCCGGTCACCGGTTTCCTGCGTCCCTAGGGACGCGGGAGACTTCTGCAGAGAGCGCATTTGCCTGGCCTGTCCGGCCGGGGAGAGCTCCCCCAGGGGTGTCACCTGGGCCTCCCGAGGGGCCGGGTGGTCATGCCGCACTCGCAGTGTGGTCCGGAGCCCGGGCCCCCATCCCTGCTTGCGTGCCGGCTGTCCCGCAGCCTCTGGCGTGTCCGGCGTGGGTTCTGACTTTCTCACAGTCCCCCCTCCGCGTGGAGGGTCTGTGGGCCTCTCCCCACTTGCAGAGAGGGAAGCGTGAGTCCCAGGAAAGACCGTTGCCCCGAGGCCGCACGGAGACCCCCAACTTGGGCCAGTGCGTCCCTGCCAGCTCGTGACCGAGGGCGTGAGGCGGCTTCCAGCCACTCGGCCTCACCGCTCCCGCTGCTCCCACGTTGCAGCCAACGCAGCGACGCCCGGAGGCGAGGGGGCCAGCCAGCCAGCTGGCGCCCCCGGTCTGTGTGCCGCCGCCCAGGCACGGGGCGCTCTGCCGGGCGTTGTGGGTCTCACAGGGTGCGAGTTGTAAGCAGACCTTGCAGCGGTGGTGCACGGGCGATGAAAGCCCGGGCCCCGGCCCGACAGGTGCACCCCGCCGGAGGCCCCTGTCGCTGCGGCGTCAGGCCGAGCAGACACCCGCGGGGAGTTTCCATCTGACTCAGCGCCGCCGTCGCAGAGGCAACGGTGCCGGCTGCGTTCTCAGGGTGCCGTGGCCGCCGGCTGCCCCAGCGGCCCCGCGGGCGGCAGGTGTGGGCCTCCCATTCACAAACCCACTGCTCACAGGCGGGCTCCCAGCGGGAATTTTTTGCTTCGAACTAAAATTAAGAAAATTAGAACAAAGCAACTTACCCAACACCCCAATTTTTAAAAAAAAGGGGGGAAGGGAAAAAAATCTAATGTGAGCCCAGAAGGAAATCTCCGCATTCAGCCCGGGCCACACCTCTGCAGAGCCGCCCTATGGGAGGGATGGGACGTGGCCCCTGAGGCCAGGAGAGGCTCAGGGCCCACCTTTCAGCTCAGGGGCCGTGGCGCCGGGTCCTTGCCCCTGCCCCTTCCTGGGCGCGACATGCCCTGGGCAGACACGGCCTCAGACACACGTGACCCCCGCTGACTTGGCCCCCCAAGGAGCCCAAGAGGTCACCAGCAGAACTCCCCGGGGGCCGCAAACCTGAGCCGCCTTGCCGGGCGAACTAGATCCGTGACACCGGCCAGTGAGGCTCTTGTTCTCGATGCCCAGCCGGGCTGGGCGCAGGCCGGCGTCTTGGAACTCTGCTCCTGGACGGCCAAGGCCCCCGGCGGCTGGGCCCCTCAGGGCCCCCACAGTGGAGAGTGTGACCAGCACAGGGCAGGGGGGGGGGCCGCCACCTGCACCCAAGCCGGCCACCATCAGTGCTGCATGTGGACGGGCCATGTGGCGGACGGGCCCCCCACGTCCAGTAGCCAGATGGTCTAGACAGCCCATCGGTGGCGTGGCGTGTATTTCCTGTCATGATCATGGTGCCGCCGTGGTGACGTGACGGCAGCTGAAGAGGGACCCTGAGGACCTCGCTGGTGGGGCCAGTCAGGGTGCAGGCAGGGCTGCAGAGCTGGTCCTGCGTGGGGGGCGGGGACAGCATCCAGGGTGGGACCGGCCTGCTGCCCGGACGCCCCCTCCCTCCCACAGTGACCCCGGGGACCGTCCCCTCAGAGCCCTGGGCAGGGACAGTTGTGTTTCTCATCAGGAACTCGTGCGGTGGCTTTCCCTGTTGGGCGGAGCTCTGTGGCCCAGCCTATTTCCCTTTTTACTTTGCCTACCAGGAAGCACACAGCTAAGGTTGTTGTTGTTGTTGTTTTGTTGTGTTTTTTTATTCCTTTGCTCGTAGATTGTCCTCAAGAGCATCGGTACAGGTTTTCTTCTTTCTTCGTGGTTTCTCTCTGTACTTACCTATTTTTGGGGGGTGAAGTGGGTGGCAGGTTTTTGGAGGCAGGTAGGACGAAGAACGGGAAGAAGCTCCTGTCGTGGGCCTCGTGTTCATGTGCGAAGGCAGGTGTGGGGCTGGCCTCTCGCCGATCCTTGGGGATTATCACCTCGAGGGCAGGGCCGGGATGTACCCGTCACACACCTGACTCAGGGGAACAGCTCAGGGGCTGTGTTAGGACAGGTGATTCCAGCGGCCGTAACAGACAGTCCTCTCATCTCCGTGGCCTAGGGCAGTACGGCTTCTTGGCGTTCTTGTCGCAGTGCAGCTGGGTGTTCCGGCAGTGGTCTCCACGCCGTGCGTCTGGGTCTGCCAGCCCCCGGGGCTCCCGTGGGGTCCCCCACGGCTGACTGCAGCGTCCCCCCCCTCCAGGGCCGCGGGTGGGAGATCAGCCTCTTCCTCAGACCCACCGGGCCCGACTTCTCTCGGTGACTCACAGGGGAGCGTGTGAGACTGCCCCCTCCCCGAGGTGTCGCTCGAGGAAGAGACGCTCCAATAGACACCCCCCAGTGAGCCCGGCCCTGGGTCCAGTTGTCTCCTGCCCAACGACGTCCTCCAGGCCAGCGGCGCAAAACACGACCACTTTCTCCATGCGCTCCCGCAGCGGCCAGGTGGGCGGGACTTGGTGGAGGCCTCCCTGCTCTGCTGGGGGTGGACGACGCATCTGCAGGAGGCCCCCACGCCTGTGCCGGGCACGTCGGGGCCGTGTCATCGGGGGCTGCCGGCTGGGACGTCGGTGTCCTCCAGGCAACCTCTCCCCGCAGCCTCCCACAGCCCCGTGACCTCCAGGTAGTGAGTGGAGCTGCTCACCTGGCGGCTCCTTTCCCCGAACTGGAGCCACAGACGCACCCCGGCTGCCGCCGCCACCTCCCTGTCCTCCTTCGTGCAGTTTTTACTGTTTTTGTTGTAGGAAAACACACACGACATGAAATGTACCGCTGGGACCATTTTTAAATGGACGGCTCAGCGGCAGTGCCCACACTCGTGGGGCTGTGCGGCCACTGCCCGCCCCCTCCCAGAACGTCCACCTTCCCCCCATGGAGGCTCCGCCCCTGCCCCCCACCCCCACCATTCCCCTTTCTGTCTTGGGAAGTCGTCCTTGAAAGGGATTGAGTGAGGTCGATCCTGTAACGCTTTTTAAAAATTGATTTTTAGAGACTGAGGAAGGAAGGAAGAGGAGGAGAGAGGGAGTGACTTATTGTTCCACTTATTTATGCATTCACTGGGCGATTCCTGTAGGCGCCCTCACCAGGAATCGAACCCACAACCCTGGTGTATCGGGATGATGCTCTGACCAACGGAGCATCAGTTGGGCCGCCCAGCCAGGGTCTGTCTCTATGAATTCGACCCCTGTGGTCCCTCCTATAAGTGGAATCATACAGTATCTGTTCTTTTTTTTTAAGATTTTATTTATTTTTAGACAGAGGGGAAGGGAGGGAGAAAAAGAGGGAAAGAAACTGATCGGTTGTCTCTTGCACGCCCCCTCCTAGGGACCTGGCCTGCAAGCCCTGACCGGGAATCGAACCTGTGATGTTTTGGTTCGCAGCCCGGTGCTCAATCCACTGGGCCACCCCAGCCAGGGCCAGTATCTGTTCTTTCGAGTCTGGTTCCTTTCACTTAGACGAATGCCCTCGAGGGTCACCCATGTGACAGAAAGCCTCTTCTTTTGGGGGGCTGCGTACTAGTCCCTCGCACGGCCTGTCACCCCTCAGAGGGCACACGGGCCATCCCCTGGTTCTCCGCTGTGAGCACCTGTCCCGACGTGCCGACACCTGGGTCTCTGCTCCCCGGCACCCGGTCCGTCCTTCCACCTTGTTCCGCTGGTGACAGCGGGTCACGGGGTCGTCCAGGGTCACCAGAGGCACCGCCTCTCACAGCCACTCTGGGGAAAAGGCCTGTGCAGCGGAGGCCGGGCAGACCCCCCTCCCGCGCACGCACCCCTCCGAGGCCCGGCTCCACGCTCCAGGCCCCCGGGACGCCCCGGTTCCCACGGCCCGGCTGCCAGAGGCCGTCCCGTTGGTGCAGCTCCAGCCAGACCCCACGCGCCCCGCCCCGGAGCCGGCCGCGGGACGGCGGTGCCTCTCGTTACATAACCTGTTGTTCTGCGTGCGCCGGCGCTGGGTCCTCGTCGGGAGTTTCTGACAGCCAGCTGTAGGAGCTCCAGGCAACGGGGCGGGGGGCGGGGGGGGGGCCCTCTCCCTCATAGTATTAGTCACTCTGTACTGCGCTAAATTTAACTTTTTATCATCCCAGTGATATTTTTGTGGGCCTAGGGTTTTACATAACGCTACCAACTGCCGCCGGCCGAGAATTTCTCCTTCTTGTTGGGCGTGCGTGTGCGTGTGCGTGCTGGGCGTCTTCCCCGTGGACTCGCGCGCTCCAGGGGTGGGGTTCGGGGGGGCCCTGGCTCTGTTCCCCCGCTCCCCCCGCCCCACCCCCGTCCCCTGTGCGGCCTGCCCGGGCCTGGGTGTGCGTCTTTGGGCTCGGGGAGAAGAACCGCTCCTCCCAACAGCTCGCTAATGGCCTCACTAATGCGTGCTTCCGCTGCACCGTCTCCCGGGCTCGCTGCCGCCGCCGCCGCTGCCTCCGGAGGGCTTCCCGGAGGGAGGCTGGGCTCCGCTCTGGAGTGGGGTGTGGAGGGAGCAGAGGGAAGGCTCCCGAAGGCGGGGGGCGGGGGTGGCAGGGAAGGGACTAGCGGTAAGAGATCCAGCCAGCCGCCCACAGCCGCGGGGTCTGCGGTGCTTGTGGGCGGCAGGTGCAGAGAACTCTGGGCTGAGGGAGGCTGAGCGGTGTCGGGGGGCTGGGCCTCTCCATGGGGACGCAGCGCAGCCTCCCCCTTCCTCCGCACCGCTGCTGGGAAACGGGGGCCCACCCGCCGGGCATCCCCCAGGGGTCCCGTGTTCTCCACTGATAACTGCGTGGGAGGTGCCTGCGTCCATTTTCCAGACGGGAAGACTGAGGATCGTGTCCGAGGGCTGGCGCGGCAGCGGACATGGAGTGCTTCCCGTGTGCCAGGCCTGGCGCTGGGCCCGTACTCCCACCGGCCCACGGGCTCCTCGCAGCCCTTCCGTGAGGCTGGCCCAGCAGACAGGCCGGGTCGTCAAGGCCACGGAGCCGAGAGACAGCGGAGCCGGACGTCAGAGCCGGTCCACCTGCAGGTCCCCTCCTTCCGGCCACCCAGGCGTGGCCCCTCTTCCCTGCTCAGGGGCTTCCCGGGGGCACAGGCGGCAGCGACGGAACTCAGGCAACGCAGCCGGGGGCGTGCGTGCAGGCTGTCGCCGGGGAGAGGAGCCGGGCGCCGCAGAGCAGGGACAGGAGAGATGCCCCCTATTCATCTTCTCAAAAACACCGAGGTAGCACTTAAGTTAGCTTATCCAACAGCTAGGAACTCCTAGGTGTTTGCCTCGAAGAGTCGGAAACGTGCATCTACGCAAACACTCGTGTTCCTGGGGGGCCGACGGGCGGGAGCAGCCACAGTCCCCAGCAGCGGACGGCCAGTGAGCAGACGTGGTCCCCCACCCACCGCCCCCCGACCCCGCGCAGGGGAACGTGACTCGGCCCTGAAAAGGGCCGGGGCGCCGGCACCCCCACCATGGGGACGACCCCCGTGAACGTGATGCTGCACGAGAGACGCCAGCCACGGAGGCCCCCCCGTGTGACTCCGTGTGTGAGAAGTGTCCAGAGCGGGCCCACCCACAGAGCCCGAGGGGCTGGGCGCGGGGAGGGGCCGGGGGGGTGGGGGAGGGGCCCCAGTGGGACGGGGTTTTTTTTCTGGAGGAGATGGAACCGTTCTGGAACTAGATGGTGGTGGCAACTGTAGACCTTTGCGAACGGAGCACAGGCCTCTGAGCTGGACACTCTACCCCGGTGAATTTTAGGACATGTGAATCATATCTCGATAAAACAAACAAACAAAAATTAGGCGCCCTGCACCTGGGGGCGGAGCTGCCGTCCGCCCCTGCTGTCCGCCGCCGCCGCCATCGGGACAGTTTGCTCCACCCGGTCCTCTCCCACCGGCCTCCCGGTCTCCATGCCGACGGAGGATGGAAACAAGTGTTCGACCCCAGTCGCACCGCACGGCCCGTCCTTAGGAACTCCCGCAGTCAACCGGGGCCGGCTTCCGACACGGGGACGCCTGCGCCGGCCAGTGCACGGGCGCCCGGTCCGGACGGCGCTCCCCAGGGTGTGTTTGGCGTCTGCCCGGCGGGCAGGCGGGGCCCCGACCGCCTCTTCGTAGAATTCGTGCGGGGAGACGGCCTCGCGTGAGCGGGCGGCCGACGTCCGCTGCCCGGAACAAAGTCGGGGACCTGAGACGTCTTCGGGGAGCGGTTCGGACTTGCCGCCTCCGGGGGTGGGTTTCTGTGTTCGTGTCGCGTGCTGGCCCCCCGCAGCCCCCCCGACTGTGCGAGCGGCAGCCCGTGGCGGACCGCGGTCCGAAACCTCACGGAGAGGGTCTGGCGCTCAGCGCGCAGGGACTCTCGCGGGTCAGAGTGCGTTGCGGGAGGGAGCCTCGCCGAGCGCAGAACCTGGCTCAGCGCCCTTCCCCCCTCCCCCACCCCGAACAGGTGCACACGGGCCGGCGTGTGACACGGAGGTGGAGGGGTCCTGTCGCAGTGTCCGCTGCACCGAATCCTCCCAGTGTAACCTACCACCGCGTGTTACAGTTACACCTACACCTCCGTGACACTAGAGAGGGGGGAACGTGAAGGAATACAATGTTTTATTTTGTTTCTGGTGAAACACGACAAAGCACGTGTGTTATGCGTGGCCGGTTCCAGGACCCCACCCCGGGACCCCACCGCGGTGGGTCTGTGGGTGTGCGTGGCACGTGCGTGTGGCACGGAACACTGCGCGGCGTGCACTTCTCCCTTCCCCTCCAGGGAGCGGGCCGATCGGCTCCCCACGCCCTGTGTGTGGGGTCCCCGGAGGAGCCCTGAGTCACCTGGCAGCCGCCTCCTCCCTCCTCCCAGCTGTTTTGCCCCCTCCCATGCCCCGGGAGCGGCCTCGCTCCTGGAGCTGATTCCACACCCTCTTTCTGCACTTCAGATGCCCTCCAGCGTGAGCAGTCATTCCCCCGCAGTGGCGGCAGCAGCGGCAGCAGCAGCAGCAGCAGCAATGGGCCTCTGTCTGTGCAGGGGCTCTGCCAGTCTCACTCTGAGTCACCGTTGCCCTCCTCACCCAGGGAGGGGCAGCTGGCCAGCCTGCCATGCCCGCTCCCGCCCCCGCCCCCGCCCTGCTGCCTGGGACTGGCCTGTTGCCGTGGAGAACCGTGACCACTAACCCGGGGAGACCTACAGCGACCTCGCAGACAGACGGGTGGCAGGGGTTGTGGCGGGCGGAGCTAAGAAACGTCCTGGAGGAGCCGCCGTGCAGGAGGCAGGGCGTGTGCCTGCGCGGGGAGCTGTGGGTCTTGGTGGGGTGTGGGGAGAGAGCTGGGCCGCACCCCCAGCCACCGCTGGGCCTCCCCAGTTGGAGTCCCCCTCCCCCAAACTCCTCTCGCTCGCTGCCCGTCCTCGCCAGGCAGTTTGCCACTTCGCTGTCTGCCGCCCCCGTGAGGCTCCTCCTACTCACGCCTCCTCGTCCACCTCCGTGGAGACCGCCGGCCTCTGGCAGGCACGGGCTGGTGTCCCTGGGCCCCTGTCCCGGCCTCAGCCCGCAGAGGAGGGCGGCTCTGGAGTGGGGACTTGGTGTCTGGGTTTCTGGCCCGCAGGGGGCTGCCCTCCGCTCCCGGTCCCCAGGAGGCCTGGGCCGCTGCCGGCTCCCTGGGCGCAGGCCCGGGGCTCGCCCGTGCCCCGCCACACAGGCCTGGGTGCCCAGCCACAGGCGTGGGCCGTGGCCGACGCCGTGGGTGCCCTGGGTCAGGCGGTGGCTCTGTCGGCACCTGGGAGTGTTCTGCCGTCAGGTAGGCTGCTCGTCCCCAGGACTCCCTGCAGGTCCATCCGCTTCCCTTCCTCTTGCGTTTGCCGTGCGTGCTCCGCTGCGGCCTCTGGGCGCCCGGCGCAGGCGGGCGGGTCTCCGGCCACACGCTGCCCGCCTGCAGGGGATGCACGGGGAGGCGGGAGGGTCCGTCGTTGGCGTCACCGCACGCTGCTCCCAGCTGCTGACCGACAGCTGGGTTGCGTTCCCCCACCCCCCGCGCGTCCCCCCGCCTGGCCGGCGCAGCCCGAGGTCCCGCAGGGCCCAGGGGTGGGTGGTGGGTACGAGCCTCCGGTCGGAGGCCCAGGGCCCTGAGCTGGGCGTCTGAGGCGAGGCGGCAGCAGCCCGTGGGGTTCATAGGCTTCTCCCCGAGCCGCCTCCCCAGGACGTGGGGGGGCCCTAGGAAACGCCGCGAGCTTCCGTCTCCACCAAACACATCCTCGGTCGAGCGAACCCCCCTCTGGCCGGCGTCCCCGTCCCGTCCTCTGGGCCCAGCCGGATGCCCAGTCTGTGGCGTTGCCCCGGCTGAGGCCCGGCTTTCCCCGGGCGGTCTCACCCCCTCCCCCGCTGGCTCCCCCCCGCAGGATGCTGGCGTGTGCGCCCTGGTCCCCGACGCCCCCCTGGGGGCCGAGCCGGCCGAGCCGCCCCGCCCTCGGACAGCGGGGGAGCCTTCCCCCACAGAACTGCAGGTGAGGGCTGCCCCGGCGTCGGAGGTCCGGGGTTTGAGGGCTCGGCCGCCGTCTGCGTCCTTCCTAAACACCCGACTTCGCCCGATGGGCGGGGGGTAGCGTGTGTTCATCGTCCTGCTTCTGCCCACGGCGGCCGCTTTTCTCGAAGTGGGGGGGACTGGTGCTCTGCCGTGGGTTCCAGACGCAGCCGGGCCCGGTTGCTGTCCTCCAGGCAGAGCGCCCGGTGCCTCCCTCCTCCCGGCTCCCCCGGCGCAGCCTGGCCCCCCGCACCCCCGGCCAGCAGGGCAGGACCGGCGCTGGGGGCTCCCCAGCCTCCGCGGTGGGCAGGGGCTCGGCTGTGACTGAGCGTGACGAGCCGTGGCCGGGGACACGGGAATAGCCGAGCACGTGTTTTCACAACTGTCTCCCTAGACGAGAAGCTGCAGGGGACGTGGCTGAGGTCCTTAGGGAGTCCCGGGCGACCCCGGGACTAGGGGTCGACCCTCGGTGCCCCTCTGCTCCCCCGCCTTCCGCCTGAGCGAAGAGCCAGAGCCCTGGGCCCTCCTGGGCCTCTCGTCCCTCCGGCCCCACATTCGAGGGTCAGACGCAGGCCTCGCCCTGTCCCCTGTGTCACGCCACGGCCTCTGGTGGGCAGGACAGAGATGGCGACGCTGCCCCTTTCTCCCCCGAACTCTGACACCACCTTCTTCCTGCGCGCTGACCAGCTGGGTTGAGCTCTGGGGCGCAGAGGTCGGATCCGTCCGGGGAAACCGACCAGACCAGGTGAGGGGGCGGGGGCGGGGAGCGCCCCGGGGTCTGTTCTGTCCAGCCCGGCTGTGGGCTGCGGGCTGTGAGCACACGGGCTCCTGTGCGGGGCCATCCCGGCCCGAGGTCACACGAGGACCCCGAGGCTCAGAGATGTCCCTTGTCTGCCTCCGGGTCACACAGCGGTCCGGCGCCGGGCTTGGGATCGGACCCACACGCAGAGAAGCACGCGGCCTGCTTTCCTCCCCGCTGGACGGGGCCAGCCCGGCCGCCTTCCTGGCGGTCTGCCTGCTGGGAGTCCCCTCTGGGCCCCGGCCACCCGGCCCCTGGCCGCCCGGTGTCCTCTCGTGGTGCCCCGGCTCCCGTCCCGTGGGCAGAGCAGGCGGCTTTTCTTCTCCAGCCGCTCGCCGCTCTCCTCTGCTGCGGAAAGGAACCCCCCGCCCCGTGCTCAGCAGGGGGTGTGCTGTGTTGCACTTTTTCATTTTGTTCTAATGTATCTCCGAGGTGGTGTCTCAGCTGCTGAGGCGGTGGGGGCGGGGGCGGGGGGCCGGCAGGGGAAGTGGGCGCTGACTCACAGCCTGCCTGAGGTCTCCTACTACCGCACCTGCGACCACCGGCCGTGAGCACTTCTCTGTCTGTGGCCTGAGCTCTGACACCAGCCACGCGGCTCTGAAAGGGCCTCCTGGAACGGAGCCTTGGCCCCCCGTTTCCTACGGAGCCCAGCGCCTCTCCTTCCTCACAGCTGCGTCCCCGAGCCCCGAGGGGACCAGGACAGAGGGGCGGGTGGGGCTTGCAGTGCGTCTTCTCCGGGGTCCTCAGCTCCACCCGCGTGTCCGTGGAGCATGTTCTGACTGCCTGGTATCTGCCCGGTGGGGTTCCAGGTGCCGGGGACGCAGCCTTGAGCATAACAGGCAGAAGCCTCTGCCCTGGCGCGGCCCCACTGTCTCCACACACCCGCCTCTGTGCATGCTGGTCCTCGCCTCCGCCGGCCCTGGGAGACAGCAGGCCCCGGTGGGAAGAGCAGGGTGGCCCCATCTGCGCCCTAAGCTGCTCCTGGGCGCCTGTGTGTGGCCTGGAGGGACCCTCGATGGCAATACTCATCGAGGTGGTGGGGAGAGGCAGCCCCCCGCCCCACACTGAGAACACCACCCCCGCAGGGAGGGAAGGGCTGGAGGAGCAGGTTTATTTTAGGGGTTTCTTGCTCCAAAGGAACTGAGCCCTTCCTTGCAGAGCTGGGGGTGGGGTGGGTGCAGGGCAGGGGGTGGTCAAGATTCTGCCTCTGTGGGGGTCCCGAGGGAGAGCTGGCGGGGAGGGTCCTGGCCCGGCTCCGGCTCCGAGGTGGTCACTTCCTTCCTGCCGCCCCAGCTCACGCAGGGAGGGGCGCTTCCTGCCATTGTTTCCAGGGAGGCCCCACGAGGCCGCAGGCTCCCGGGGAGGAAGAGAGGGCTGACGGCTGGGGCCGGACCACAGCAGCGGCTGACACACACTTTCCGTCCCCACTGCCGGCGGCCCCGTCACCTGCGGAAACTCACTAACCCCTGCGCCGTCCCTCTGGCGCCCTCCTGGCCCCTCCAGTTAGACTCGGGGTACGGGGCGGACCGGCCCTCTTTTTACATGCTCAGGCCCTCCCCCCACCCTCGTGATGAACCTGGGCCTTTCGGGGTCCCCTTCTTCTCCCCAAGAGCCTCCAGGCGCCCACTCCCGGGGCCGGGGCCGCACACCTCTGGCTGCGTTCCTGGTCCCCCCTGCTCGGGTCCCTCGCTGGGGTTTGCCCAAGGCTCTCGGATTGCCGTGGGGCGGGGTGGTGTGTTCGCTGGTCCAGGTGGTGGGGGTGGGGGGTAGAATGGAAGCCATGAGGGCACTGGGCTCAGGTGTGTTTTTAAAAGTCGATCCTTCCTGGCTGGCGTAGCTCAGTGGATTGAACGTGGACTGTGAACCAAAGCGTCGCAGGTTCTATTCCCAGTCAGGGCGCATGCCTGGGTTGCAGGCCATGACCCCCAGCAACTGCACATTGGTGTTTCTCTCTCTCTCTCTATCTCCTTCCCTTCCCTCTCTAAAAATAAAATAAATAAAATCTTAAAAAAATAAAATAAAAAAATAAAAGTCGATCCTAGGGGAACCTCGGAAGCATCGGGTGGACTTGGAGGGAGCCGAGGGGTCATGGAGTCCGGTCTTGCCACGTGGCCTACGGGGAAGCTGGGGCCCAGTCACGGGGGCTGCTCGTCCAGAGTCCCATGGCCAGCCGGTCAGCCGGGGCGCCCCCCGACTCGGGCTGCTGACGTCCAGTCTGATGTGTCTGTAGCTGAGGGAATGGATGGAGGGCTGGGGGTGGGGGACCCGCAGAGGCCTAAGGGCCCGGGGTCGGGGGGAGGAAGAGGGGCCGGTCCCAGACGCCGCAGCTGAGCTGAGCTGAGCTGAGCGTGGGGTCCCGGGGGACACCCCTGGCGGCCAGGAACCGACCGAGGCTTTGCAAGCTGAGGATTCCGGGCCCTGGGACCTCCGCCGGCCAGGGGTCTTCACTGCCGGGCCCGAGCTTCGGGCAGGCCAGAGCCGACAGGGCCGCGCACGGCACTGGAGATTTCGTTAAGCTTCTGCCAAGCGCCAGGCTGGAGACAGGCGTTGCGGCTCTTGGTGCCGCCGACGAGGAGAGCGAGCCCAGGGCCCACGTCGGAGGTGTGTGCAGGGAGCTGGCCATGCACGCTCCGGGCAGCTCGGACCAAGGACGGCGGCGAAGCCACTGTGGTCACCAGACGCCCCAGTGGCCACAGGCCAGGGGCCGCCGTCCACCAGGGTGGTCTGTTTAAACCCAGGACTTGCTGCCTCTTGTAACAAAGGGAGTGAGGAGCGTCGTGGGGGCCCGGACCTCACTGCCCCGGGCTGGGTCACCGAGAACGGGGCTCACTCAGCCCGAGAGGGCCCAGCCTTGCCCTGCACTTGACCCCAGCCGCTGGGAGGCGGCCTTGCGTTTCACCCCGAGACGTCCCGGGTGCTGCTTCGTGCAGAGGGCAAGGAGCTGGGAACTTCGTGTTGCAAAACGGCTCTCGCGACCAAGGCCACCTGTGGAACCGTGGGGCACAGAACCAGGCCTGTGACGGTCCCGGTTCCGCATGGAAAGATCCGGTGTCGCCTTCTGACTCCTCCTCGGTGCCAGGGCTGCCGGGGGAAGGTGGGGAGGTTGTGTTCTCTTCGGAGAAGTTGAATCTCTGCAGGGCGAACAGGGGTGGGGGTGTGTGTGCAGAAATCCAGTGTGGTTTTCCTTTCGGCCTTTTAACGCAACGTGTCCCCATCACAGTAGAGGTCCTGGTGGGGAATGACAACCTGGACATCGCTGCCATCGAGTGACTTGTGGGCTGCCTCGCTGCCCTTGGCTCTGGTTAGCGCTATGGGGGCCCCAGGTGGCCCGAGGTGGCCCCAGGACAGAGCTAACAAGAACCTGGGGCGCAGAGGTGGGAGACCATGGCCGGACCACTGGTGTGAGGCCGGAGCCTGTCCTTTTGCAGGCGTCTTCCTTGGAGGCTAGAGGAGGTGGGGACACCAAGAAACCCAGGGCCAGCTCCCCGCCTTAAGGAAATCGGGGCCAAGATGTGGGCACGGCCATGGGCCCCTCCTCCCCACCTGGCCCCCAGCCCCGGGCTGGCCCGCCCCCCATGCCTGGCTGGGGACTTCCCGCCTTCCTGTGGCGATGCTCAGGCTTCCACCCGGTTTCCAGGTGCAGTGGGTGCCGTGCCCACCCATCGGCGGTGGATTTCAGACGGACACCTCCCCTCCTGGCGTCCGTCCCCTGGCTGGTCCTCACGGCCTGGCTCTGGAGGGCAGGGTCCCTGTGGGAGGAGGGGCCTGGAGTTGGGCGATTATTTGACGATGTGTCAGGCACCTTCCGCTGCCTGGGCTGTGTTTGGTGGGGCTCGGACGGGGGCCCCGCCTGCTCTCTCTCCGTGGGTCCCTCTTGCCTCCGGCAAACGGCGGCCCTTCCCGTCCCCATTCAGTCTATAAACACCCTTGGGAACCCCGTCACGCTCGCCCGGGTCCTTCACGGTGAATCGACTTATTCAGCGGCACCGAGAAGTGGGCCACGCCGGCGAGGACGCGAGGAGACGGCCTCTGAGCAGGAGGGACATGCCTGCCGCCTGGGGGACGGCCCGGGACGCACGCCGCTCTCCCGCCGCAAGGGGGCAGCTGAGGCCACGGGCGCGCTCTCACGCGCCAGGGAAGCCCCTGGCGAAGGCGGCCTAGATCCGGGCGGCTGCGCCCGGAGGAGAGATGGCAAACGAGAACATGTGTGCAGAGCGCCTGGCACGTAGTAGGCGCTCATCAGACGAACGTCCCTTTCCCGACATCCGAGCCGGCCTGGCCGGCCGTGGCGCCC